ATCAGGGGTACTTTTTTACCGTTTGACGTGGACTCAATTTTGGCGATTCCCTTGTGCACAAAATCTATTGAGGACTTTTGGGCATGGTCCGGCGAAAGGAGTGGCAAATTCACGGTGAGGTCAGCATACAGGATGGTGATGAACACAAAGCATCATCGTGAGAATTGGTTGGATGGAGCTGGTGGAGTTTCGGATATTAACACACAGAATAATGAGTGGACAAGCCTATGGCATATCAAGGTGCCTTCGAAGCTTAAGGTGTTTTTGTGGAGACTAGCTCAACACTCGATCCCGTCGATGGACGTTCTGCACCGCCGCAACATGTCTACCACCACACGCTGCGCCCTGTGTGGCTGTGATGATTCATGGAAACATGCCCTGTTGGAGTGCACTATGTCTAGATGCATATGGTCTTTGGCCGATCCCTGTCTGGTGGAGCATATGAGCCAGAATGCGGACATGAATGCAAGGAACTGGATCTTCGCCTTGCATGATGTACTTTCGCAGGAGGAGTTTGTGATCATGGTGGTTACTCTATGGGCTGTCTGGAAATCTAGACGAAAGGCGATATATGAGGATATATTTGAGAGCCCTCAATCCACTCATCATTTTATACAGGCCTATATGAATGATCTTCGGTCAATACAGCAAGATAGAAGCTTAGTACGGCCGAGGGAGGGAGGAGCACGGCCAAGGACAACACAGTGGATTCACCCACCAGGAACAATGTGCAAGATCAATGTAGACGGTGCTGTTTCTAAGAATCAGAAGAGAGGAACTGCAGCGGCAATATGCAGAGACCACACTGGTAATTTCCTTGGGGCTTCGGCCATACTTGTGCGGGGTGTGTACGACCCACCGACGCTAGAAGCGCTTGCTATTCGGGAGGCTCTAGCCCTGGCCAAAGATCTGAACTTGCAGAATCTACACGTTGCATCAGACTGTAAAGTGGTGATTGAGGACATGAAGGAGCAAAACCCAGCTGGTTATGGTGCAATTCTACATGAAATAACTGACCTTGCGAATGGTTTCGTAGAGTGTAATTTTGTTCATGAGTATAGGAGCTCGAACTTCGAGTCTCACAATCTAGCGAAGCATGCTTTAAAGTTAGGGGTGGGCCGCCATGTTTGGTTAGGACACCCCGGTAATCTCGTTTTTGTCCCTGTAAACATTTATCAGGATAAATAAAGCTTCGCGTGATTGTCTCAAAAAAAAAAAAACCCCTCTTGTCCATTGCATATTGCTCCAAAAAGAGAACCCCCAAACCCTGCTTTATCAAGGATCCCGTCCCAAGCGGCGGCGGCGCATAGAGATGATGCGCAAGAACAAGGAGCAGAGGAGGGCAGATGGAATCACCGATAGAGGCAGTGATTCGCTGGAGACCATGCGGCCGAACAAGAAGCAGAGGCTGGACGGTGGCAGCGGTAGCGATGAGGAGACCTCGCCCTACCTGGTGGTAGGTCATGGGAGCGTGAGCCCTGCCTTCTCCGTGTTCAAGGTGGAACCCTACACCGACGGCGGCGGCGACACCCCGGTGAGCATCCCGCGCCGCCTCGCCCGCCTCAAATGCAAACACAACATGTCTTTCGTCCCTTTGAGATTGAAGGACCGCCGGTGGATCGTCGGCGTCGGCGGCAGCTCAACCGAGAACTACTACGGCCCGGGGACCATCATTTTCGACACCGAGAAGCAGGTGGTGATCCGGGGGCCGGAACCTAAGTCGATCAAGAGCCACCCGATCCTGCTGCCCATCGACCAGAAGATCTACGCCCTTTCCCGAAGCCCCTCAGTGAAGGGACCGCTCGATTACTTGCCCTGGTTCGAGGTCCTCGATCTCTCCCAGGCACAGGAAGTTGACGGCTGTCTAACCAACTGCAAGTGGAGCTCCCTGCAGCGGCCGCCCTTCTTTCCCTGGGAGCTCACCCCACGGCAGTACTTATGTCCACCGAGGGTTGCCGTCAAGTCATACGTCGCCGTGGGCTCCCACATACTGGTTTCTGTGACCGGATGGGTGGGCACGTACGCTTTTGACACGAAGGGCTCGAAGAAGTGGGTGACGGTGGATGACGAGAACAACCTGCCGTTCAGCGATGGTGCCATCCCGCACGGAGGTGGGCTCTTCCTCGGCTTATCAGGCACCACAAAGGCCATCAATGGATACAAGATTAATATCGGCACTAGGTCACTCTCTGTTGTTGAGATTCCTGTGGTGTCCGACTTGGAAGATGAAGAGCTGGTCGGTCGCTCACACAATTTCCTTTCCCTGGGGATTGATAGTGGTTTCTGCTTGGTGACCTGTTGGAGTGTTGACGAATCGCCGTATCCCCCGTATCACCGGGCGCACATCAGGGTGAGGACGTACAGAACAGATGATTTTGTGGAGTCGGAGGGAAAATGCTTAGTCGTCTCCAAGCAGTGGATGCAGGTTTACAAGATCCACGATTTGATCCGGACACTAGATGCGCCATGTCTGGTTGGTGTGGTCTACATATGAGTAAGCCCTTTTCGCATCTGTCTGACTTCATGGATAAATTAGTCTCATCTGATTGCAACTTTATTTGCACCTGTAGATTCTCATGAATTTATTAGAACAAGTGCACATAATTCTGGATTGTCATGATAAATTTGTCACACTTTCTGTTAACTTATTACTCTGGTCATCTTGTTTAACAATATTATTCCCTTCTTACAATACATTAGCAAACTACAGTATGTTATCATCATTGGTTAGTTGGGTCTGGATGCTGGAGTTAGCTGTTAGATAGAAATCCTAATGTTTATCATCATCACTGGTAGTTTTTCGAAGATGCATGAATGGTCCCAAATTGTTCGTGTTTTAGCTCATATCTAGATGTCCATGAAAGGATTGATTTTGGACATGTATTTTGAAGGCAATTAAACTGATAAAAATGCCACAGGAAGGCCATAGCCTCGAAAGTGGCACCAAGTTAACGCACCTTGTGCAATTTAGTAAAAATAATAATCATTGTGTGTACCCTTTTCCGTATTTTCTAAATCCGCCATCTTTAGCTAAAATGGAGCTACAAACACTGGTTACCAGATTCGTGATTTGTGCGGTTCCCTATGAAAATTAGAAATAGACATATCCATGCGGGCTGGGCCAGACCGAATAGGCCCATGAGCTGCTCTCCCATAGGCATCCATCTGCGCATTTGCCCCACTCTTGCAGTCGCTGGAAGATGCGTTACTTCCCAGTGCTCTCGCCCTAGTCCTCTCCTGCAGCCTAAATCGTGATTCCATTTCGATTCTTGAGATCAGCAAATCAGGACCAAACTCTGACCGATCTGTAGGGAAGTGGAACCCCAATCTAGATCGATCAATCTAGATCAGGGTTCAAAGCCCGCTCCAGGGAATCTGGTACTGCAAACCACCATTATTTTGTACCACTTCTCTTGAATTATGTCAAGAGTACTAGCTGCTTATACTCAGCAAATGGCATAGCGTTGCTCCGAATAGTCAGTAATTTGGTCTGTATGGTTGCATTCTCATATAGGAACAATAGCTTGAAATAGGAGCTCACCCATAAATGTGTCCAGTTAGTGACATATGTGATAAGCTTTCAAATACATCAAAATATCATCACTGTAGTTTGGGATGGTTACGTTCACATATAGGAATTCGGATGACGACAAAGCTACTAGTTTAGGTATATCCCAAATTGCTTCTCCTTACCCTTTTATTTTAGTTGGCTCAATCATTGCAGCAGCTCATTTATTGCAAGTAGGCTCGTCGTTATAGGGAAAATTCATGTACTATTAAGGACATACCTGCTTACAACCGCAACAACCACAACAAATCGTTTAGTCCCAAACAAGTTGGGGTAGGCTAGAGCTGAAACCCATAAGATCTCGAAACCAACTCATGGTTCTGGCACGTGGATAGCTAACTTCCACGCATCTCTGTCCATGGCTAGTTCTTTGGTGATATTCGAGTCCTTCAGATCTCTTTTTACGTATTTCTCTCCCATGTCTGTTTGGTCTACCCCGAGTTCTCTTGACATTATCAAAATGCTTTAACCATCCGCTATGCATTGGAGCTTCTGGAGGCCTACGTTGTATATACCCAAACCATCTCAGATGGTGTTGCACAAGCTTCTCTTCAATTGATGATACCCTTACTCTATCACGTATATCGTTATTCCGGACCCGATCCTTTCTTGTGTGGCCACACATCCATCTCAACATGCGCATCTCTGCTACACCTAACTATTGAACATGTCACCTTTTAGTTGGCCAACACTCAGCTCCATAAAACATTGTAGGTTGAATGGCCGTCCTATAGAACCCGCCTTTTAGCTTGTGTGACACTCTTTCACAAAGAACGCTAGAAGCTTGGTGCCACTTCATCCATCCGATTTTGTTTCGATGGCTCACATCTTCATCGATATCACTATCCTTTTGCAACATTGACCCCTAATATTAGAAGGTGTACTTTTGAGGTACCAGTTGCCCATCAAGGCTAACTTTCTCCTCGTGCCTAGTAGTACTGGAACCGCACCTCATATACCTAGTTTTAATCCTACTAAGCCTATCATCGACTAACACCACATCATCATCCGCAAAGAGCATACACCTTGGGCTTTTTCCTTCTATATCTCTTGTGACCTCATCCATCACCAAAGCATAAAGATAAGGGCTCAAAGCTGACCCTTGGTGCAGTACTATTTTAACTGGGAAGTCATTAGTGTCAAAATCACTTGTTTGAAAACTTGTCTCAACATTGTTGTACATGGCCTTGATGAGGGTAATGTGCTTTGTTGGGACTTTGTGTTTCTCCAAGTCCCAACACATGACATTCTGCGATATCTTCTCCAAGTTAACGAACACCATATGCGAGTCCTTGTTTTGATCCCTTGTTTCTTCGTAAGTTGTCATACCAAGAATTTGGCTTCCATGGTCGACGTCCCATGCATGAAACCAAACTGATTTTTGGTCACGCCTGTCATTCTTGTTAAGTGGTGCTCAATGACTCCCATAGCTTCATTGTATGGCTCATCACCTTAATTCCAAGGTAATTAGTACAACTTTTAACATCCCCCTTGTTTTTGAAGATTGGTATTGATATACTCCACCTTCATTCTTTTGGCATCTTGTTTGCCCGAAAAAATGAGATTCAAAAGCTTATTCAGCCATACTATCTCTATGTCTTCGAGGCCTCTCCACACCTCAATGGCGATACAACCAGGGCCCATCGTGTTGCCTCTTTTCATCCTTTTTAAAGCCTCCTTGACCTTAAGACTTCTGGATTTGTCGCACAAAGCACTTGCTGGTATCTTCAAAGGAGTCATCCAACTCAATGTTAGAGCTCTCATCCTCTCCATTGAACAGCTTGCCGAAGTACCCCCGCGATCTATGCTTGACCTCATTGTCCTTGTCCTTCACCAGGAGTTGGTCTGCTCCTCCTTGGTGCATTTTACTTGGTTGACATCTCATGTCTTCCTCTCTTGGATTTTGATCATCTTGTAGATGCCCCTTTCGCCTTCCTTCATGTCTTAAGTGCTAGTAGAGGTCATCATACGCCCGACTCCTTGATTCACTCAAAGCTCGCTTTGCGGCTTTCTTTGCCACCTTGTACTTCTCTATGTTGTCTGCACTCTTATCCAAGTGCAGGTGTATGTAACAGTCTTTCTTCTCCCTAATAGCCTTTTGGACATATCGTTCCACCGCCAGGTATCTTTAGTTTTGCTTCTACTTCTCCTGGTCACCCCAAACTACTTTGAAGCCACCTTATGAATGCAAATCGTCATCTTCATCCACATATTATTTGCATCACCTCCTTCCTCCGCCCTCCTTAATAACCCTCAGCTTAAGCGACTAACATGTTCATTACGATGAATTAATTGTTTGATGAACCATGCTAATTTTGTTATTTGTATGACATGCTCCTTAATTTTGTTACAACCAAGCAATCAGATACACTTGTTACAATTTAGCTTCAAATCTAGCTGATCCCCTTAAAATAGATTAGTATCTGGCCGAGTAAAGCATTGTGCAGTATTTTTACTCCACTAACTTTTGCTCGGACCTAGCCGGTCCCCTAAATATAACGGAGTATAATTTTTTTTCCAACTTATGCAATTCTAGTTTACATTGCAACTACATGTTAGCTCACATATAGAAACTAAACATAAATATGAAGGTTCAAGCAAATCATGAATACAAACTGAATTATTTAAATTTAAACACACCGAATGGTTGAAATGTACTCCCTCTGTTTCAAATTACTCGTCGTTGAAATGGATGTATCTAGAACTAAAATACATCTAGATACATCCATCCGTGCGACAAGTAATTCGGAACGGAGGGAGTAGCAAATAACATGTAAAAGCACAACTAGGAAGTGATATGAAGTTGCCAGTGATGCTCAACAAAATCTTGTTGGAGCTGGTTATGAACTTGTCGGTTCTCGATCGTACTATGCGCTTCAAGGAATGCCTGGATCCAATTTGGATCGTACTCTGGCTCAACAGGAGCCCGTTGGTTTTGTATCAAAAGTTCTCAAGCATATTTCTCTCATCTTCGATGATCATGTTATGCAAAATGATGCAATAGTTATGATTTGCCATAGAACCTTGGAGCTCCAGTACTCGGCAGGGCCATGAACAATCGCAAAGCGCTTCTGAAGCACACCGAAGGCTCTCTCCACATCTTTCCTAGCTGCTTCTTGATGTTGGGCAAAGTGAATATTATTGTTACCTTTTGAACGCGGAATTGTTTTGATTAATGTGGCCCATGGGGGATAGATGCCATTCGCAAGGTAGTAACCCATCGTGTAGTTGTGCCCATTGACTGTATAGTTGCAAGGAGATCATCTCTTGAAATCCCCTGAAATAAGCCTAGCAAACAATGGTGATCTCAACGGCATATTCAGGTCATTGTGAGAGCCATATCCAAAAATCCTTCGATGTGATTGCCTCGAGAATGATCGTTGGATTGTTGCAGTGGCCTTTGCACTGACCTTTTCACCCTATAGGACAGTTCTTCCAGGTCCAGTGCATACAGTCAAGTGATCCGAGCATCCCTGGCCATCCTCTTGCTTCACACTTAGCCATTAGCCTCTTGGTGTCTTCCTCGTTGGGTGCCCTCAAGTA